ATGCCAATACTACAATACGTACACTGCAACACGCATTACGATAATACACACTGAGCTACAGAAAACTATATATATGTTTGACAACTTGTTCATAAATCTGAGCAGGAACTAGTATATTTTTGAGCCTAGCCTAGAGACAGCTGAACCATCTTTCTATCCCTAGGAACTCTTAAGCACCATTTATAAAAACACAAAACAAAACCCTGGACGAAAGGCTGAAGAGATGCTCTCACAGAAGACCCAAGTTCAACTCCCAGCACCCACATGGTGGCTCACAACCATCCTTAACTCCACTTCCAGGAGATCCACTGCCCTCTTCTGATTTCTGTGGGCACCAGGCATGCACGTGCTATACATACATACATGCAAGCAAAACACTCACACACACAAAATAGATCTAAAACTTAAAGAGGAGGAGGAAGGAACCAACTTAAAGAGGAGGAGCCTAGACAATAACTGGCACCACACTGATGGAAGTGCAGTGTGGCGCAGACCACTCACATGTCGAACAGTAACTCAAAAGCCAAGCGTTTACCCTTGTGGGGACCCCTGCAGGGAAACTGAGATCCCAGGAGATAGCACTATGTTTCAAAGGAGCAGTGGTGTCACCAGTGAATTCAAATGGCACAAGCCTTTAATCCCAGCATTCAGGAGGCAGAGGCAGGTGGATTTCTATGAGTTTGAGGACAGCCTGGTCTACAGAGTGAGTTCCAGGACAGCCAGGGCTACACAGAGAACCCTGTCTCAAAAAGACAAAAACAAACAAAAAACAATCAAACGGCACTGGAAAGCCATGCCTCAAAACTGGCTTAACTGTCCAGAAGAGAAGCTCAGAGGTTAAGAGTGTTGTTCTTGCTGAAGACTCAAATTCAGATCCCAACACCCATCTCAGGCCATTCACAGCTGCCTGTAACTCCAGCTCCACACTGACGGAATATCTCTGGCCTCTGGGCTAATGTGCACATACCCACACACACAGAGACAAACAGATACACATAATTAAAAAAATAAAAATAAATCTTTAAAAAATAATAAAAACTGGTTTAAGAAGATAAACATGGTGGCTCATATCTATATTCTCAATACTTGGGAGACTGAGGCAGAAGGCCTAGGCCAGCCAGGGACACATAGTGTCTCAACAAAACAAAACAACTGAAGTAGAAATCTCAGGATTCTAGGGCAGAGGGAACCATGGGGACAAGACCTTCCAAGATCAGGGACAACTTAGGAGGCCACCACAGTAGGTATCCAAGGGGTCAGGGCAGCCATTTTACTGAGATAGTCAAATAGGCAAGCACTGTCTTTTCACTTAGCCACAAACGTAAGGTATTGCACGTTAGATGGGAAGGAGATTCTCCATTAGCAGCCAGCGGCACCCCTACCAACGCCGACTTTTCTTCTTGGGCCCCACATTATCTAAACCAGGGATAAACGCACCCCTGACAGTTGACTCTATGGGCCAAGCTGAGCTCTGACTATATGTCCCTGCCCAGCCCAAGAGTGACAGTGGGGGTCTGCAGAGTCAACACTCTAACCCAGCCCCTCTCTCCACTCTTGGGGAGGTGTGGCAGGAACACCTGTGAGAGGCACCATGCCAGCTAGCCATGCAGGAGAGTCTTACTGACTGCATCATGCTAGGAAACCTGGGAGACTGTAAGCAGGACTATCCAGGCAGGGGCTCTCCTGGCCACACTGGCTCTGTGCAGGCCTGGACAGCCTTGCCAGCTAAGGCATGAGATGGCTGAAGCACAAATGACCACACAGGTCTCACTGTGTTCCATACAGGTCTATGGTAATAATCTGCCACTGCTCCCCTTTCAGACACCAAGGACTACCTTGGGGAATCTCATTTAGAGGGCAGAGTCAAGACGATCATGCCACTATGTGCTGGGACAACTCCCAAATGGTGTTTATCCCTGTCAGGTGGAGATAGTGTGTAAGGGCTCTGTGAGTGGCCCCAATTTCCCCTAAATTTGGGCAGCTCTCACATGGCAACCCACGGGGATGGACAGAATTCCCCTGGCTTAAAGAGCAGAATCAGGGAGAATGGGCAGACCCAATAGTGTGTATCCTCAAAGGAAAGATGGCATAAACACCAGGCAGAGTTTGTCTCAGACTTCTAGTGAGCAGCAGCTGGCAGCACAACTAAACATCTTCTAGGGCAGAGAGGAGCTGGGCTTGCCATCAATGCCTGCTGGAGGCTTGGGGGAAGGCAGGGTATGGGGAGCTCCATGGCCTGGGTCAGGGTTCCCATTGGAAAGAACAGGTAGGCCTGCTGGTGATGTCATGCCCTCTTGGGCTTACTACCTTAACTCCCAGCCTGCCCTACTACAGGAACCCCTTTAAACTGGCATGACCTTGACCCCAACCACAGCTCAGTAACTACTCATGGTGCCCAGAAAGTGAAGCAGCAGCATGCCTGCTGCTGCCACTAAGAGACTGAGGGGTCAGATTTGCCTCCTGGAAGCTATGGACAGAAAGCCTTGAGAGCAGAACTTGAGCACAACCAAGGCCCTTGGTCTTCCTAGCCCAGATCCCACGCAGCAAAGGGCCTGATGCGGTGACTGAGAAAGCCCTGGGTTTACTGTTTGTGTATGGACAACATGACCCAGCCTGGAGCTCTGAGAGCTCAGATAAGCTTCCTGTGCTAGGAAAGGATGGGGTGGGGTGGGGGAGGAGAGGGGAAGTGGCTTGAGCTGTGGCTGTGTCTGTATCCTTGGCTATATGGGATCCAGGATTGGGACATCCTCCTCCCGCTCTTGGGGTACTAACCATAGTCACACTCGAGGCAGACAACTGCCATCACTGTGGCTTGGGGAGCAGTGGCTCCATAGTATGTAGATGTATATTCTTCACTCCTGGAGAGACGATGGACACCTGCCCGTGCTCTCTCAGTGCTCTCCCTCTAATCCGGCATGCAGCTCCCGAGTGCCTGTTGGCAGCATGGCAGGGCCAGAAGCAAGTTGCTCTGCCCTTTGCCCTGCTACAGTATTGGGCACTAGAAGGGCTATCCCATGCTGGTTGAGATAAATGGGATGGGCAGGAAGCAGAGATGGGCATCCTGTTGGGTAAACTGAAACAGTCAAGCCTCTAGAGCATAGGGCTCTGGCCCACCACAGAGCTTCTCAGTGGCCTTGCTTCTCACATCAATACCCGACATCTAAGATCAGAACAGGAGGCAGAGGGAGGGGACTAAAATGGCTCAAGACACAGCAGGGCTGAGTTAGCAGGGTGCCGCATTATTTAGGGAGGAGGTTTAGATAGGGTCTAATGTGGCCCAGGCTGGCCTAAAACTCCCTGTGTAGTCATGACCTTGAAGTCCCAAATCTCCTGCTCCGGACCATCATGCCTAGTTTCAGAGTGTTACAGCGAGGCATACTGGGAACAGCTCCTAAAGAGCAGAGTGGCAAGTGAGTCCTAGCCACCATTATACCTCAGGACATATAGTGGACATTAGGTCCCTGAGTGGCATGGGCTAACCCCTCACTTGGGGTAGGAAAATGAAGCCAGAAAAACTCTTTGTAGGGCACCTGAGAATAATCTGGAGTCCAGTAGCTCAGATTCAAGCATCTTGTCTGAACAAGGGGCAATGGGCCACCCCAGATAGTGGGTATGAAGCTATTCTCAGATAGAGCCAGACACAGGGGGCCTATAGCTCCACAGTAGGGGCCAGGCCTTCCCTCTACCTGTGCATCCCATGGTTCCCTTCTCAAGCATATCCCGGGTAGGAACATCACCACCAATAACCTAGATTTTTAACTAAGAAATTGCACACCCCCTTCTCTGCCCCACTTACAGACCTGCTGAAGAGAAAGACACAAGGAAACCTAGACTGTGCACAGGGGCCAAAGGAGCAGGGCCAGACACATGGCCTGTCTGTGTTCAAGTACACCCCATCACCACAAAATGGGTCAAGCAGGATCCCCTTCTGACACCCCAGGCCCTACTGAACACCCTTGGTGAGGTCCCTGCCCCACAGCCTCTGAGACTCAGAACTATCTATGAACCAAGAGAGCTGAAGTGTTCAACTGGCCTGACCAAGAGTAGCTGAGAGCTTCCCGTCCTTCTGTTCCCACCCTACAAATGCCAGCTCTGTAAAACCTTCAAAGGCCACTATCCAACTGGCTCCTCAGAAAACTTGTTGAAGCAACCAGGCTGTCCCTGTGCAGGCAAGGTTAAGGAGTCTGCTGGCCAAGCATTGAAAAGCAGGTTCAACACACAGGATACTGGACACACTTTGCCCTGTTCCCACTCTCCCAGTGTGCCACAGCCGAGGTCACCCTGGAGAGGTAGGGGCTGTGCAAGGATGGTACTGATGGATGAGGAGAGATCAGATCTTTTCTTGGTTCTGTGGAATACCGGTGAGCATCCTCTGCCCTCGGCACACACTGATTCTGCCCCAACCTCACGGCTGTGTTCAGCCATCAACATGGTGTGAAAGGACTCTAGTAATAGCCTCTGTACTACAGCCTTGGGGTCCCAGAAACAAAGGGTCTTGGGTCCTTCTCTGACCTCCTAACTGATGATAAGCAGGAATGGAAGACCCTATACATTGGTGGATTCCCTAGGGTGGATGTGCTCACTCTGAGCAATGCAGTGGCTAGCATGTACCTTGCTATCAGGAGAAAACCAGCTCCAGTTCTTCCCATGAAAAGGAAACAGAAGCTATCTATGCAGACCTAAGAGGGCCAGAGCCCCATTCTGAAATACTTATACAAGCATGCAAGAGTCATGAAATCCTAAGGGGATTCCCGAGCCACTGACACCCTCAGCTCCTTCATTTGTTCAGTACAGTCAGAAACTCTACACACTACACTGGAACTCTGACAGACTGTTGACCATTACCACATGCACAGGGCCTGAGCTCCTACCCAACTCCTCCAGCCCAAACACCTTGCAAAGTGACCGTGCACACCAGCCGCAATCACCATACACTCCCACCATGCAACATGCCCTCTGTTTGCAAGGATGGCATAGCTCCAGACCCTGCTGTGTATTACCTGCATAGTTTCCTGTCGCCTTAATGTACATCTGGCCATACTGCTCCTCCACCATGGTATCATAGGCTTCGTCATCCTCCTCATCCTCCTCGTTGTGGTAGGAGGTGGGGCTGTCAGTGGTGGGCAGACTGCTGGCCCCAGGACTGGTCCGCTCCCCCTGGGGATAGGGTACCTGCTGGATGCTGGGGATGAGAGTGGCCAAGCTAGGCACACCGTAGTAGGAGACGCGAGGCAGCTTCAGAGGGGCTGCACCAGGTGTCCCTGCCACACCATCTCGAGGGCCCGTCTCCAGGGGGCGTTTAGAAGCCAAGCCTGGGCCAGTGGCAGGCGGCATCTCCATGGCTTCATGCTTTACGCGGGTCAGAAGTGGGATGGGCACAGAAGGGGATGCGACATAGGCCGCGGTGGCCGGTTGCAGCTGGTTGCAGGGACTTTGGGGCTCCGAGCTGGCATCCTCAATCATGGCGGTCTGCGAGTCACAGTGGGGTGAGCTCACCTTGAACATGAGGTCTGTGCCCCGCTCCACGATGTGCTGGATCTGCAGGAAGCCCGCTGTGTACATGACCACCAGCTGCTCGCTGGCCGCCATGGTAAGCTTGCCTGTGTAGCAGAAGGACAGAATCTGCTGGAAGCAGGCAGGCGGCACCGTGCCGGGCAGCTCAAAAGCACTCTTGCTATTACCACTGAAGAGGTCTCGGAAGTAGAGGCTGCTGGCAGCCAGAACTGCACGGTGGGCCTTGAAGGCCTGGCCTTTGACCACGATGGACACATCACAGTAGAGGCCCAAGAGGCGCTGCTCATTGAGACAGCCAAGCACTGTGTTCCCAAAGTTGGGGATCTCGATGTGCAGCATCTGAGACATGGCGGGTGCTGTGGTGGGCGGGTCTGAAACTCAGCGTGGGACAGCCTGGATGAGGCACATCTGTAGAGGGGACACTGTGGTCAGTTAACTGCCAGATGCCCCCCACCCCATCTAGCGACCTGCCCCCAGCCTCTGACAAGGGAAGGGAAGAACACTGCCCTGCTTAAGTGGTCTCCTTAGCTAGAACATTCCTCCCAGAAGGACTGGGGGGGGGGGTGAGGGTGGTCCTCAAAAATCCAGACCCTGGCTTGGAGGCAGGACAGAATGATCCTGACCCCTATGCAGGCATTAGAACCTACCCCATCCACAGCACCCATGGACTGCTCCCAACAATCCTGAGGGCAAGGCTCCATTCTCCCATCTCTGAACCCTCTGAGAATAAGACAGGAGTGAGCTGAACAGACAAGTTACCACTGATTGGGATGGGAGGGCTAAGGGCAGAGCCCAAGAGTGATCTCAGGGACTCCGGTCTAGAGGGAAAAAGTTCCCTGAGCCAAGAAGCCCCTCGCTGTGTAGCCTTCCCTGAAAAGGACATCCCAGAGCAGGGAGGGCTTTAGTTTCAGGTTTGTTTTTCCTCTTTGCCCGCTAAGCAGCTTGCGGAGGGCACGCTGAGGCACTGCAGAGCTGTCCCCCTGCCATAGCCCTTGCTCAGCTTCAAGCTTCCGCTGACAGATAAGGAGGGACAAGGAACGTCAGGAAGGTGGGCTGAGGCCGGGAGAACTCAGTGGGCTCCTTCCTCTACTCTTTCCTTGCAGACAGACCTCGATCCGCCCGGTGGAAGGGCTCTGGATGCACTCTGTGCTTCCTGGCAGCTCCGGGCTCCCCAAACCAGAACCCAGGTCCTGAGCACCCTCAGGCATGCCAAAGGACTTGGTGCTTGTCGCAGAGCAGCCTCCTGCCTGTGCGCCCTCCCTCCGCCCCGCTTCCAAAACTGGCCAATCCCTGCTGGCTTGGTCCCAGCCCAGGTAACTAGAAGGGTCTCTGGACTAAGCCCGCCAGGGGGCCAGGGTGGGGGCAGGCCGCCACTGTTTATCAGCACAGGACTCTGCCGATGGCGGGTGGGGGGTGGCGGGAGAAGGCGCAGGCCCTCGCCTAACTCTGCAGAGCTGCACAAAGGGCCGCTGTGTCCCACGGGAGGAAAGTGCGGACGGCCGCAGAGGCGCCGGGTGGCTGGAAAGGAGGGCGGAGCAACCCTGCGCCAGGAGTTGGGCAGGTGGGCGCAGCGCCGGGGTGTCCTGCAGTGCCCCCGCTGCAGAGAAGTTGCTGGGCTGGCCCGCAGGCACGACCAGGAGAGGAAAGACCTACCTTTAGCGACTGTGGCCGGCGGCAGACACTGCCCACTCAGCCTGGCAGCAGGCTCCGGCACACCGGCCCGCCAGCTGCTCGGGGAATGCAGCAAGGAACCCTGAGGTGGGGAGGGCGTAAGGAGCCCTGCAGGAGGGTGGGGGTGGCAGAGAGCTGGGCGCTGGACTCAGCGGCCACAGCTCAGCTGCACCCAGGCCGGCTCTCCCGGGCAGCGCGCAGCATCTCAATGAAGCAGCCGGATGCAGACGAACATCCAGGCAGCTCTCGGGAATGAATAGCCGCCTTTGATTTGGGAGCTGAAGTAAATGCCAGCTCCCAGCCCCAGCTTTAAAAACAGTGGCGCGTTGGTGCCAGAGGAATGCACGGCTCCGGGTGTTGGTGCAAGACAGACTTTTGATGACTCACTGCAATGCAAACAAAGATGGCAGAAATACTGTACTGTACGTGGAGAAATGCTTCGTGGTGCCACGGCAACTGAGACAGCTTGGAAATTTATAGTGCAGTTTTGCATATGAATTACCCAGTAAACTGCCTCCCTGCCATCCTGTACAGACCCAGTGTCAAAGCATTTAAACTATTCCAAACAGTCTGCAGAGCTGGCAGCGCGTCTAACTTAACTCTTCCTGGGTAGCAAGAGGCTGAGCTGGAGGGCTAGGGAATGGGGAAGGATGACAGCACCAGGGTAGGGAAGGGGTGCAAGCACAGCCAGGAGATGAGGGAAAAGGAAGGAGAATGCCAAAGGGGTCCTAAAAGAGGCACAGACTGGGAAGAGATTAGGACCCTAGAGCTATCTCCCCTACTTCTCAGGGCCTTAGAGCCACATACTCTACAGGGCCACAGGCTCCATAACAGTAGGCCTGTAGGTCCAGAACCCTGGCCCCACCCAAGCCCATCTTCTGATCCCTGAATGGCTCTTTAAGAAAGGTGCAACTTTGTGGCTAGGCAGACCCCTGGAGACGTGCCTGCTCCTCCCTTCACCTGAAACACTTCTTGGAAATAAAGACCAGCAAGCTATCTGAGTAAGGTGTCTCCCGTGTCCTTTAGAAGGTCTTTTTCTGGCAAAGGGTAAGCATCTCCTTCCATAGCATTTGCTTAATTGCAAGGGCCCTGGGGAGAGCTACTGGACAGCCTGCCTCAGTTTCTCCCACTGTTACGAACTGTGTTTCCAGAAAGAATATAGTCTACTTGCAAGAAGGGAAAGGGTCAAGGCTGGCCATGGTACTGTCTGCTGAGAAGCAGTACTATCAAGGTGACACAGCCTATGAGGAGGTGGTAGCAGTAACGGTCTTTCATTCCCCAGTGTACCCTCCAAGGCACCAATAGAACAACAACAAAAACAAAAAAGAAAAAAGAGCCATCTGGCACCTCCTTATTTACACACTGTGGGCTCCAGACAAAAAGCCACTGAACAGGGATGGGAGAAAATCCAGGTGTGAAGCTGCCAGCAAGCCTAGCCTGCAGCCCCCTCCAAGCCTTTGTCCTCAGGGTGGCCGTGAGGCTCCCTAGGACTTGGGGGCTGCACACTAGTGCTCAGTCCTGCTGATGAACTACTCTCCACAAGACCAAGAAACCTAGGGCTTGGCAGGATCACCTCTGGGCCATACCTTACTCAGAACAGTCCTTCCATCTTCCTTTTTAGTGGCTGCTTTCTTCTAGAAATCTAACAGGCAAGTCCTGGGCAGGACTAGGTGTGCTCAGGTCTATATGGGTCACTGGCTGACTGCTGGGCCTGGCTAGAAAGGGACTATGCTACTCACAGACACACAGCACACATAGCACATAAGAGACAAAAATTCCCAGATCTACAACACCCACCAGAGAGAAGCTTTCCCCTCAGAGCCGCAGCTTCTGCCACAGGCAACCCCAACCAAACAGAAGCTCTCCCAAAGCCTGGCCAGGGGGCAGAAGCCTGCAAAGCTGCAGTATGACCCAGCTCTGGTCCCAACACAGAAGGGTAAACTGATCAGTAATCAGGTACAAAGAATCAGAGGATAGAGTGAAGCTCCCTGGAACAGCCCCTTCCAACAGAGTAGGCCCTGGCTTGTGGGCCAAGTTAAGTGCTATGTCCCACCAGCGTCAGCCATTTCCTATGACCTGCATGCTCTGGTATCAGCTGTGTACTGGGGTCAAGGTGGACTCTGGGGAAGTTACTAAGCACAGACAGAACCATAAAGCTTAAAGGCCTGCTACTGCGTAGACTGATGATGTCTATGATTTGTTTTGACCTGAGCAGGTGAGACATTTGTGTCCATACCTCAAGGACTGGCGCCTAGGACTTGGGCAGTCCAGCTCATACAGAGAAGGGACCATTATTCTCCCAGAAGATGATGAGGCCAACTTGGTCCCCAGGGACCCAGGACAACTGGCTCATTTGCTACCTTGTCCTCAGGCCACCTGTGCTGGCAACGCTGATGCCTGCACCCAGCCTGCGAGAACCGGACAGGAGCTGGTTTTAGGTTGCTTTCTTAGAAGCCTTGGCTGGGGCAAAAACAAAGCTGAACTTTAGGAGAAAAGAATCAAATAAAGGCTTGGCTTACACTCCAAGAGCATGAAAATAAGACTAGCCAGGGCTGCGGCTGGGGCATGAGGGGGCCTTGCACCTAAGTGGGCCAGAGTGTGGCTGCCGGCTCCATGGGAAGGGCAGAGCTGATTCCAGCCATAGGGCTTCCTCAGGACTCTCCACACCAACCCTGTGTAGTGATGTCCAACTGTGCTCTCTAACTTCTACTCTTCTGTAACTCGATTCCCTTGCCCCCTGAGCCCCGTCCAGCAAGGCTCCACTCCATGGTGAGCTATGCTACATTCATTTGCTTATGGAAATTTCTACAGTCAAGTAGTAAATAGCACCCTGTCTCTACTTACCCCATCTATCCTCACAGTGTCTGCACTAATAAACTGTTTCTTCATGACAGTCTTCAGGATGGCCCCAAAGCCAAGTACAAGCCCTGCTGCTACACTTACCTTGGGACCCTTTCCCCAGTTAGTGGAGGCTCCTGAGAGTTCTCCAGAATAGGAGATAGATGAGGTCTTTATAAACAATTCTTCAAGGGAGGGTAGGGTGCTAACACTTCCTTGAAAGCACCAAAGCCAATAGGTAGATGTGGACACTGATGAGGCCACACTTGGGACAGAGGTGAACCAGAACTATAACCAGACATATTGCATACAGAGGCCAGGCAGTGCTTTGCCAGAGTCCTTTCCCCAAGCAAAAGGGGTATCCTGCCAGAGTCAACTTCACAGGAAGGATTTTAATGAATGCACAGATTTCAGCTACACAGCACCCCAAGGTTTACCTGGGCCTTAGAACCACACCCCTGGGAAGCAAAGGCACAAAACCACTCCAAAGATATATCCAGAGACAGGACAGGCTCACCAATAAGCAGAAGCCACCCTCCCTAGCACCCTCAAACCAGTCTCAGCTCCAGAGCCTGTAGGTCCTGTCTGGAATCTGGCAGAAACCCCTCCATTCCACAAGGACTCTGGGAACTTGCTAGACAGCGCCACAGCACTGTGAAGGGTGGTGGTTGGTGTCTGCATGATGACTACCAGCAAGGAAAGAAAGAAGAGAGAAATTCAATTATTTTGCAGGATTTAATTTTGTCAATTTAATAAGAAGCCCTGAACCTTAGCAAACACACAGGTACTGCCACGCAGCTGCCAAGGGAGGAGGAAGGCACAGTTTAAGGGAGCCCCTCCCCAGGCAGTCTCACACACCCCAGTCAGGCCAGAAGAACCAGGAGGTTTGTGCAAGGCACCTACCCCAGGAAGGACTGCAGCTGCCAGAGGACACAGGCAGGAGCATGTGCAGATCCAGAAACACAGCCTGGTGGGAGTTCAGTGAAGACAGCAGAGAAACCCCTTTCTATCACAGTGTAGGATAGGGAAGGAGGTAGGAGGTCTGCTTCCTTATGGATTCCTTCCCAACAGCTGACTAGACACATCATCACCAGGGAACTGTGGGGACTGTGGATTAGGGTCCTGGCTTGGGTGTGCTCAGGTCTCCAAGAGCTGGGTGAGGCACCAGGTTGGTCCTGAGGTTTGCATTAAACTTTTAAAATACCATCAGGCAGAGCTGAGCTGCCTGAAGCCTTGCTGCTAATGGAATCTCTACCATCTTGCAAAAGGACCCAGGCAAGTAGAAGCAGAGGCTGCAGGATGTGATCTTGCCTGTCAGTGCCCCTTCCCACAGTGCTCATGCTAACTGCATATGCTGCCTGCCCACCTGAACCCCTCTAAATGCTACAAAGGAGAAGACTGGAATCCCAGACCTGGAAGCTGCAGGCCCAGAGCCTGAGTCATAGACACCTGATTATCAAATTCCCTGGCTTCCTAATTTTGACATCCAGTGTCATGGGAGTCTTTGTTCATCAAATAACAAGAGCAAGAAGGTGAAGTCTGGCTCTGTTCAACTGATTGGACCAGAGCTAGCACTGCATAAGGTCCCCAGGGCAAAGAGAGGAGGCACAGGGACCTTCCCAGCTCTGGGTCACAAAGGAGGCAGTTCTCCAACATGACAGGTCCCCTTGGAGAAGCAGGGAGGGACCACATAAACTCCTTTAAATGAGGCTCTCTCCTGCCAGACCACATGCCTGGACCAGCATCAATCATAAAAGCCTGTTTTAACTACACAACACAAGGTTTACCTGGAAACTTCTTCCTTCCTTCCTTCCTTCCTTCCTTCCTTCCTTCCTTCCTTCCTTCCTTCCTTCCTTCCTCCTTCCCTCCCTCCCTCCCTCTCTTCCTTCCTTTTCTCAGAAGGAAAAGGAAAGAAAGCCAATTCAAAAATTGGCTTGTCAATCTTTTCTCCCTTGCTCTTTTTACTCTTCCCGCCCCCTCGTGTGTGTGTGACATGAGCTGTGACCACCCAGCATGAGGACTCCATGGAACACAACCACCCATGCCAAAGGATCACAATGACAGATTGTGCTACCCCTCCTCATGATGGTCAGTCTTGTATCTGACAGCTTGTGGGTTGGTATGGCCTAGTAGAACCTTATAGCTACAGGAAAGAGCAAAAGCAGGTAACACTTCTAACATCTACAGTGCACCTGAGGCATAGACACCTACCCCAACTGGTCTGTGTGGTCTTGTAAGCCAGTGGTTCTCAACCTCTGGGCCCTATATCAGATATCCTGCATATCAGGTATTTACATTACAATTCATAACAATAGCATAATTACAGTTATGAAGAAGCAACTAAATAATTTTATGGTTGGGGGTCACCACAACATGAGGAACTGTATTAAAGGAACTGCATTAGGAAGCCTGAGAAACATGGGGTCTAAGCACTAAGGCTTTTAAATGACAGGTGCTAGGGCAATCAAAACACTGCATGTATTGTAGAATCAGTAAATCACTCAGAGATGAGGTGCAGCGTACTAGGATTGCCCCACCACTGGCCTAC